AACGGAGCGGGGAGGTGGGGGGTGGACGGGGAGCCTCTGCGTGGGTTATGCCAGACCCCTGCGGCACCCAGGTTTCTTCAGGCATCGTTTAATGAAGATGAATTAATTAAAATCAAGGCTAGGAGCTGGGACACAGGCTGTCAAGTGCTTCTGCCTGGCAGGCAGCTGTGTGCAGCCGCTATGCCTGGCCGCAAAACAAACCCCAGGGCTTGTGTGGGAGTGTTACGCCGGATATCTATTAATAAACCTTTTCTAACAATGCAAATCAAGGCGCATCAGCTGCAGGCTGGCGGCTGACTCGGGGGTGGAAAAGGGCCAAGAACGGATGGGTTTGCTAATCCCGGCTGCGGTTTCCTGTGTTCTCACAGGGCGCGGACGTGAACTGCATGCACGGCACCCTGAAACCGCTGCACTGTGCCTGTATGGTGGCTGACGCTGACTGCGTCGAGCTGCTGCTGCAGAAGGGAGCGGAGGTAAAGGCTTTTAAAGAAGAAAAACATGTTAAAAATGCAAAAGTCCCTTTGAAGAGGGGCCTGGAATTTGGGAGGGGGTGACGGGTGCTGATAAACAGCTGAGATTTGAGCTGATGGTTTTAAGCAGTGCTGATTTTGTGCCCCCTCACAGGGCAAAATGGGCCCAAGTGAAGGTTTATCATCCCAGTAGGGAGTGAAATGGTTGTGCTCGAGATCTTGAGGGGGCCTGCTTGTCTGGGGAGGGAGGGTAATTTTTTTTAGTGGAAACCTGAAGGAAGAATTGAAACCTATATATTGCCTGATTTTTGGCACTTCTTTCTGCCTGCTGGCAGGTTGTCTCCCCCACTCTATGCCTCGTATTCCCATTTGCTGAATTTGGGATGTGGGAACAGTTTCAGGCTGCGCCGGTGGAGCTTTTCCTGATGCCGGCAGGAGCTGGGGTAGCTCAGTGAGCCCTGAATCCTTTCTCCTCCCTCCCCTTCTCCTGCAGGTCAATGCCCTGGATGGCTACAACCGCACAGCCCTTCACTACGCAGCAGAAAAGGATGAAACCTGCGTGGAAATCCTCTTGGAATATGGGGCCAACCCTAACGCGCTGGACGGCAACAAGGACACCCCGCTCCACTGGGCTGCCTTCAAGAACAACGCCGAGTGCGTGCGGTCGCTGTTGGAGAACGGTGCCTTGGTGAACGCCCGCGATTACAACAACGACACGCCGCTCAGCTGGGCAGCCATGAAGGGTAACTTGGAGAGCGTCAGCATCCTGCTCGACTTCGGGGCGGAGGTCCGGGTGGTTAATTTGAAAGGTCAAACCCCCATTTCCCGGTTGGTGGCATTGCTGGTTCGAGGATTGGGTACAGAACGTGAGGATTCCTGCTTCGATCTTCTCCATCGAGCTATCGGACATTTTGAGCTGAGAAAAAATGGCAGCATGCCCTGGGAAGTGACCAGGGATCAGCAGCTGTGTGAAAAGCTCACCCTGCTCTGCTCGGCCCCCGGTACCCTACAGACGCTGTCGCGTTACGCCGTACGCCGCAGTCTGGGCGTGCGGTTCCTGCCGGAGGCGGTGAAGCAGCTGCCCTTGCCCACCTCCCTGAAGGAGTACGTGTTGCTCCTTAGCTAAGCAAAAGACACGATGCCAGAGCTCTTTTGTGCCGGCGTTCAGCTCCCTTCATCACCGCTTCCTCACGGCAGCGCCGGGAATGAGGTTGACTGCTTGGTTTGGTATTTACGGGTTCTGGTTTCCCCTCCCCGGTCGCCATCCTGGTTTTCATCCTGCTCTGCTCTTCTGCCTGAGCTGGCGCAGAGCAGCGGGGATCCACTGGTGCCCCTCACAGATGGCTCCATGTTGTCTCTCTGCCCACAACACCTGTTCCTCCCACACACTCTCCCCTTGATTTCGGCCTCATGAGATGAATGATCCCCCTTTAATGGCAAATTATAACCCAGCTGTTGGATTAACCTGGTTATTTTTTTCCCTTTTTTGTGTTGGGCCAGACCTTGGGGAAGGAAGGCTTTCTGGGTGTGGGGAGAACGGGGAAAGCCCTCTCCTTTGAAGGACCTGAGGCAGGAAATCAAGAGAAGGTGTTGTCGGACCTGGAAAAGCCCTGCGGAACATGTCGGCTGGAAATCTGGTGGAAAAGCCCACCTTAAGCGCATGTAGCAAGCCCATATGTTGTGTAATGGCGCAGGCTGGCACCTTTTCCTCAGCGCCAACACCTGCACATAGCCCCGGCCACCCCAGCACAACACCCTGCAGAGCTTGTGTGTCCGTGCTTCCCAGTGCTTCGGGCAGACATGGGGCATCTCTTCAACGTGTGGAAGTGTATTTTTCCCTTCTTGTCTAGAATTTTTAAGATGTATCAGTGCTGTAGAGGGTGGGAGCACGTCAAAAGTCGACGTTTTGTGGGGCTGTAATTCATGTGAGCTGAGGAAATGTTTCCCTCCCTCTCCGGAGTAGCTCCGTTTGGAGCGCGGGATGCTCCGCACACCTGAGCAGAGGGCTTCCCTCTCGTCTGCCACATGATAACCCACTCGAGCTCTTCCTTAGCTTTGGTTTTGCACCGTCAACTCACCATTTTGTTGTTGATTTTATTTATGTGTGTGTAGATACAGATTTTAGGAGGAGGCGTAAGGATGTGCTGGCAGCGGGGCACCAGGCAGGACCCCCATGGGCAGTGCCCGCTCTCTGTTCGGCACAGCTCACTCCTGGTAGCAGTGGCGTCCCCGCACGCACTGTCATGGATTCACGGAAATAAAGACCTCGCCGCGTGCTGGAAGGTGTGTGTGTGTCACACGCTCGTGACCAGGGTCAGCAAGGGAGCGTAGGGGGTTGACCCTCATCTTTTGGGGTCCTCCCTGAACGGGGAAGGTGCATCAGAATGGGGTTTGAGGGTGCTGTTGCTGGTGGTTTCGTTCCCATGTTTGTTTTTGGCATCACATACGGTCCTTGTCACACCTCTGACAACCGTAATGTCACCCCATCCATGGTGACAACTCGTTAAACCCTCACGCTGTTGAGCTTTGCGTGGGTTTTGCCTCCGACTGCAGCCTGCCCCTGCCGATCCCCCTTGCTGCTCCCAGCCCACCCACACCTCTGCCCTCGTCTGGGAGGTTTTTTTGGGAATCTTAACGATGCACCGAGCGGCATCATCCTCCCTGTGCGCATTCCTTGCCCAGGGATCCCGGGAGAGCTGCCCCGTGCTCTCAGAGGTGTAGTCAGGCGGCTGAACTTTGATAATTGCTTTATGGGAGAAACTTGGGGGAGAAAAATCAGATTATATGTATTTTATTCTTCCCTGTTGTGCTGGGAAATGAAGCCGCCAGGATTGGGGGTGCATGTGGGGCTGTGGGAGCCGTGTTCGCCTTCCCCAGGGTGTGAGCGCTGGAGGGTCGGAGCACAATTTGTGTTTGCCACCATGAGTGAGTGATGAGTTTATTGAAGCATCTTAATTCTGAATTTTTAAGACTAAAGTGATGCCCTAGGGACTCTACCTGGACCGCTTGCTCTCAGATTATCGCAACATCCCGCTGCAACACTTGAGGAACCGCTTTTCTGTTTTAAAAGCCCATAAAATACCTAAACCAACCCAAAATTTACCCTGAGGAAACCCTCTGCTTCAAG